AATACTAATCCAATGCGAATAGGCATCTCTGTGATTTGGACAGAAATAGGCCGAATCTGAAACATGAGGCGTTTTTGTTTAAGCAAAATAATTTGGAAAAATATAGAACAAGGCTATTTTCAATTAATGCGCTGCTCGCTTCGGCTTTATTTATTTATTTTTTATGTATTTTTCTTTTTCGCTTCAACTTTTATGCTGCTACTTCCTTCATCGCAGATGACAAGAGGTGCAGAGATGTGTGCGTGATCAACTGACCCATGCTTCCACCCATTATATTTATCAGCTTTTTCCTTTTCGGGTAACGGGAGTCACTGGTGTCCATGTCCAGCCATCACTGTGCGAGACATGGGGGACACCCTGGACAGGTCGCAAGTCCATTTCAACCGAGGGATCAGCAGCCACGCGTCCGTTCACGTGCACAGCCGGTGACAGCTGTCCATCTTTACCTCTTAAACCAGTCGGTCGTTAAATACCGTATTTTTCCTTTTCACTTCGGCTTTTATGCTGCTACTTCCTTCAACACAGATGACAGGAGGTGCAGAGACACGCGTGATCAAATGACCCATGCATCCATCCATCCATTTACCCACTTCTTCCTTTTCAGGTAGCGGGAGTCGCTGGTGCCCATGTCCAACCATCATTGTGCGAGAGGCGGGGGACACCCTGGACAGATAGCAAGCCCATTTCAACCGGCGGGTCAGCGGCCACTCACGCGCACAGCCGGTGATAGCTGTATATCTGAGCTTAACCTGACTTTTTTTACCTCTTAAACCGGCTGGTTGGACCTGCCTCCTCAAGTAGATGAACATAAATTTTATATCTAGTTTTCTTTGTGATGATTTGTAAAACCACATCAAAGCCTGAGACCGGCTCGGCCCCCACTTTAGATGAACTGGCCCAGTCGTGACAACGCAGCTCGTTAACATCATATCAGGAAGATGTCAGTAAATTTCAGCTAAATCTCTGGCTTTGGTTATCCTGTGTGAATGCGCCACATAAAAGCACACGTTGGGGAGTAATTTATTAATTACACGTGGTCCTTAGGCAAAACTAATCCCGTGTGAATAGGGCTGACTCACACCTGTATTTTTATTTTATTTTTTTTGTGATGGCCTCCCTTCTCCCCTTACAGCCATCCTCTCCACACCATTATTATGAAATATTTATTATAGTGACTATCTAGTGTAGGTGTTGTTGGGTTTTTTTTTTTTATTATTATTATTTTTTTTTTAATAGAATAGAAAGAAAGAAAAGACAAAGAAAGACTCCAAAATATAAGAAATATACACAAAGAGAGCACATGTCAAAACACCCGGCCACTGTCTGTTCACCTGCAAATAACATGACAAAACACAGCAACAAAATACATATGTATAAAGAACTTAAAATATTCATGGCTTTACAGTAAGTTTCCATAAATATATATACCCATACCTACGCCTATATACATACATACATACATACACATGAATATACACTCTCATACATATCTATATATCTACATTTAAAGCCTACATAAGCATCCCTGCTTCTATTTGTGTGTGGTTGTGAGCATGCATAAGTGTATAAGGCTTCTCTAATAGAACATTTATTAGTAACTGTGAAGCAGCAGAGACCCGACCCCCAAGACCAGAGGCAGACGAAAAAGGGGGGACCAGAGCCCAAGACCCCAGGAGGGACCCCGACCGCGGAGCCCCCAGAGCCACCCACACAGGACGAACCACTCACCCACCCCCCAGAACGGACCACAGGGGAGAACCAGAAGATCCCCACCAGCAACCACATACAGTGACCCCCCGGGGCCAACAGCGACAAACTCATAGGCCTCCGTCGGCACCCGCCGCACCGATGTAGGTCCAGGTCCAGGCACCGAGGCCCGGGCACCGAGGACTCACACCACCCAGGCCAAGGCCCGACAGGGCCAGAGGACCCGAGCCCCACCAGGCAGACACCAGGCCGAGCCGACACACGCCCAAGCGCCCAGCCCCCGATACCAAGGGCCCCAAGCGCGCCGGCAGGCAAGGGCACACCCCACCAGGGGGCCGCGCGATAGGGGCGCGATGCCAAGCACCCCCAATTGTATCAAAGAGGGGGCAGTCCGAGTCTCGGCCTAACAAATACCCATTCATACACAGACACAATCACACAATCCCAACCTCAATCTCACATTCACTCACTCAAAGACATACAATAACGATACATTTCATTCTTATTCCCGATACGCACTCTATACCCCCCAGGTCCAAGACATGTACCCGCCCTCTACAGGGGGCAGCCCATGCCCAAACCCAGGAGGTAAACCCATTCATTCTAGAGCGGAGAAGAGCCAATACCCCAGACCCGGCCCAGGCCATACCCCGCCGACAGGACACCCCCCCACCATGAAGAGGACACGCCACCGACCACCCCCACACACCGCCAACAACCAAGCACGCACCCCCAGCCGACCGCCCGCCAGGCCCCGGCAGCCACCCTGGCCAGCGGGCCAACCATGGCACCCAAGAGCCAAGCTCAGGGGGTCCAAACAACCCCAGGGAGAGCACAGCGCCAGCACCGCCCACGGCAACCCCCTAGGCCCTGAACCCCCACACCTGTATTTCTGACCACAAACTCAGACCCCGGGCTCTAGGAGTTGAGCTCTCAGAACCAAGCTCCACTTTCTGGTGTGTTTATTGGACTTTCACTCACATATCACGTGATCCATCCAAACCTACTTTCCTTATGACGACATTGCAGCTTCGGCTTCTCCACCTGTGATCGAGCGCTACAGAGTCACAGTTGACTTTCAATTCAATTCAATTCAAATATACTTTATTAATCCCAGAGGGAAATTATTTGTTGTAGTAACTCGTTATCCTCATTTCATTGAGATGTTATAGATACTGATGGTTGTAGACAGGAAGGATCTCTTGTAAAGATCTATCCCACAGTGGATCCTAAGAAACTGGCTGCAGATGCCGTCTGATCCGTCCACCCAGACTCGGCTGGCCTCTCAGTTCCCCCGGGCTGTAGGACCGCCCGAATGCCGGGCAGAACTCCTCCCAGAGCGATGGCCACTCCTCCCAGCAGTCTGTCGAGCTCCTCGTTGCTGTGGACAGCCAACCGTAGGTGCCGAGGGACGATCCTGTCCTTCTACTGTCATGAGTCGTGTTTCCTGCTAGTTCCAGGATCTCAGTGGTCAGGCACTTGAGCACAGCTGGCAGGTAGATGAGAATGCGTCCACAGAACATCCTTTTCAACTCATTTGAGATTTGGGGCTGTAGTTGAGATATTATTTGAGCTTTTGAGATGTTGATCAGCTGCTGCTGGTTGTAGAAAACTGCCTTGTTGCCGTAGTTACGCATCATAACAAATGTCCAAAACTAAAAAAGTTTCAGTAAAAATCCTTCCAGCTGCACAGCATCCGATACCAGAGGAAACAATCATCCAAAAACTGTGATTTACATCCAGAAAAAGAGGAATTAAAGTTTCCAAAAGCAAAATCTCAGAATGAAAGTAACAAAGCTGCTCCAACATGCAGCCACCTTGAGCGGCGCAATTCTAGAACTTCATTTCTCCTCGTGATAAGACTTTAAATATTTTTGGTAACTCCTATTTTTTTTTTTTTTCCCCATTTAGCCTTTATTTATACAGGTTAGTCTCATTGAGCCACGAGAACTCATTTTCAAGAGAGACCTGTTTAGGGAGCACATGGTGGGGGTTAAGGGCCTTGCTCATGGGCCCAGAGTGGGGCGAATGAGGGTGGGGGCAAGTGTGGGTGTTTCACCTACCCCACCCACAATTTTGATGTTGTCGGGGCTGGGGCGTGAACCGGCGATCTTCGGATCACAGGCCCACCTCTCTAACCTCTGCGCCACCATTCTCCCATTTCCATTTCCGTGTCCCTCTCGGAATTCATTACAGAGCCTGATGGGGACCTGGAAATAGGTCTGAATAAAAATTTTTATTTAAAGTTTTATCAGGAGGAGAAAGTCAGCTGTGACTCTGTAGCGCTCGATCACGGGTGGAGAAGCCAAAGCTGCAATGACGTCAGAGGGAAAGGAGGTTTGGACGGATCACGTGATATGTGAGCAAAAGTCCATCAAACACACTATAGAATGTGGAGCTTGGTTCTGAGAGCTCAACTCCTAGAGTCCGGGATCAGAAATACAGGCGTGGATAATTCACAAAGAGGCAGAAAAAGCAAAACTTCTCAGAAGGTTTAAGCTGGAATTGGTGGTCTGAAGGCAGAGCAGACATTGAGGTCCAGATAACCAATGGACAGAATATTCCATCTTGGTGAGGCAAATGGGAGAAATCTGTGTCAGAAAGTGGGTCAGGAACTGAGCAGGAACAAAAATACTAGATTACGTCAGACACAAGGCGATAAGACAGTCTGCACACTGGTGAGCGCTTAAGAAGTGCAGCGTACAAAAAAATAAAATAAAAGCCAGCACAGATGCTAAAATTATTTAATACAAGTTATTTTAAATGATTTAGCATCTGCTGCAGCGGGACGGACTGGCCATTGGGAGCACCGGGACATTTCCCAGTGGCCTGGCCGTTCACTGAGGGGGACTAAAATCTCAGTTCCGGTCATGCTTGATTATTTAAAAGAAACAATGCTGCTCATGCGGCACGGATTGTTTATTTAAACTATTACAGTATATACATTTAAATTGCTTATTTACACAGAAGGAGGGAGCTTGGGAATGACAAAGGTGATGAGCATGAGTGTGAATGGAGCAGAGAAGTGGGCGTGGCAGCGAGTTCCGGCAGGTGGCAGAGAGCGGAGGTGTCATGCGGTGCTCTTTTAGAGCGTTTAGTTTACGCCATTGTTTAGAACAAAGAGTAAGGGAAGGGTTTATAAAGCATATATATATATATATATATATATACTAAAATAAATTTAACGTCCTTACTTTGCAGTTTTTCACTTACATGTCAGGCATGTTAGGAACATAACCCCAGCAAAAAACTAGGGACTACTGTAAGAGAAACCACTCTGCTGTGTTTCCTACCTGACCCCTGTGGTGATACACGTCAGGGTTGTGTGTATCAATCTCTGCTGCCATGTTGAAGTCTTGTGTCGAGAGCAGAGGCTGCTGCTGCTGCATGTACATACTCCCACGCTTGATCAAAGCGTTTGCTCGAAGCTACAAGATTAAAAAAATAAAAGTTAGCATACTGTAATTGCTGGTCTATAGAGTGCACCCAAATATAAGCCGCACAAACTAAATAAAAATATTTTTTTAGTACATGTATAAGCCACACTTGTATATAAGCCACAGGTGTTCACGTTGTAACATGCGAGACAGCACACAGTCACAGAGAAATGTACAGCTCTTTTTGTAGATCAAGAATCAGCCACCAGATGGCGTTTCACACTTTATTTTTCTTTTCAACACAGACAAAGTGAACCCCACAGGTCTTCATGACTTAAGGTTACTCTACTGAATGGACTAACACAAACTAACACATAATGAACATAAACTAGGCTAAGAAGAACAGACTAATCATTAAAAGAACAATGCTAGACAGCTAACTGAAATGATCAACAATGAATTTAAATTTTACCCATAATCCCTCTCTGAGGTCATGTGACCAGCAGTCAGCTACAATGAACCAACCAATGCGGTACTCTCATTGAGTCACGAGGACCCACCCCCAAAGAGACATGTATTGATGATAGGGCTGCAACTAACGTTCATTTCAATAACCGATTAATCGGCCAGTTATTTTCGATTAATCGATGGATCAGCAAAAAAAAAAAAAACACTTTTTAATGTCCACCCCTTTATTCCAAAATTGAACATTTGACTGACATAGCAATTCACACAAAAACAGGTTGCTATTTGACTATTCTGTTAGTAAAATATTGAATAATAAAAAATAAAAGTTAGTCAAATAGCTTAAAAAAAATAAATGTACACAAAATTATATACAAATGTATCTTTATACCTGCAAAATATGTAGCTACTTTGTAAAATGTGTCCTTGAGGGAAGAGTGTAACCTGGATTATAAGTGTGGAATATTATAACCTGGATTAAAAGTGTGGATTATTGTAACCTTGATTAAAAGCGTGGATTATTGTAACCTGGATTAAAAGTGTGGAATATTGTAACCTGGATTAAAAGTGTGGATTATTGTAACCTTGATTTAAAGTGTGGATTACTGTAACCTGGATTAAAAGTGTGGATTACTGTAACCTGGATTAAAAGTGTAGATTATTGTAACCTGGATAAAAAGTGTGGATTATTGTAACCTGGATTAAAAGTGTGGATTATTGTA